TTCTGTGATTCTGTGATTCTGTGAATAATTTAGCACCTGAAAAACAATCTTAAGTTATGTGTATTGAGCTATGGATGGTTCGATTTCACATCTCTGTTATAAATAGACCATGATGGTAATGACTATTTAGAATAATTCTTCCATCATGTACAAATTGCCTGTGAAGTTCAAGCTAGAGTCAGACTGATACAACTGAGCAAAGGTTATGTCCCCATGCAACATGTTTGATCCACCTCTTCAGGGCACAACAGAAATCACTCTTTCACTCCAGTGCATGCAGGCATAAATTGAAAAGGACTTTCTTTTAAACAGGATACCTGCGATGATGTCTTCCATCTCACCTCCTGATTCTTAGCTGGCAGGCCAAACACAGCTCATGAGGATGAATTCCTTGGATGCTGCTGGCAGAAAAGAAGACATATTGAAATGTAAACCAGTTAATGTTATTAGTACAAGCAGAAATCAATGTTTTTATGCCTTCTGAGTACAATTGAGCATACAACAGCTAATATTTCACTGATTGAAGCCAAAGATCTAAATAACAGGAAAAAACTTTTTTTTTTTCCCAGCAGGTAACATATGAGAGTAACCAGCCTAGGTATGTCTGTTAGCTTATTTTATATAAATCAAGCATTGTCCGTATCTGTATATGTTTCTCCTTGTGTGGATGGCACATAAAAGCTTATGCTACAGAATTTAAGACTATCGATGCTGTTTTAATACACAGATGAAACTACAGTCAGTCATAAAGCTCATGTTTATTCTTCCTACAGGGAAAACTTAATACAGCATATTATATCAGCTTCATAATATTCCGGTATGACTAGGCAAAGTATAGTCTGTTCTGTGGTTAATGCATAGTAAAGTGGGAAAAGTTTTTATTTCAGACGGTTTTCAAGACTGTAAAGTACAATTTTTCTTTTTGTCACTGTCTCCCTATTCTGTGGATAATTCTTTTTAAGAATGCAACAAACCCATCATCCTGTTATATTAAGACACTGTTCATGTATTTGGTAGTTCCTACCCTGGGAAAGAAAAATAGATACATACTATATGGAAAAAAGTTCTTCCAGATAGGAAAAAGCCATATCTTCAAAACTCTCCATAAGTTAGGTATAAATACATCTTAAATGTATCTGCATAAAATAACCACATGTGGGAATAAATGTAAGCCCAACAGAACCAACTGCTGGATTTTTGAAGGCATTTAAGAATAAAAAAATTTATCATTTACTTAAAATACAACCAGTGAACCTTAAATATCCCAAAGTATATTGTGGGAGGTCTGTTCATATTTCAGAATCAGTAATTGCAATCCTTTCCATACATTTTTTTGCAGGTATCCCCAGCAGGAAAATGTGATTGTGAAAGTAAGTAAAGAATGAGAAAATACCACAAGAATTAAGTATCTGAAACATACGTTTTGGATTAATATTCTTTTAAGATATGATCTGTTTTTCAGGAAGCAAACTTTTCTCCATAGCAAATGCATCTGATTCATACTTTCAGATGTAACAATTTCTTAACACCTGTTTAATTGACCTTTTATTGTTCAACAGTAACGGTCTGGCCCTGCTGCAGCCTAAACAACGCGGTGAATGGAAACCACATTGAACTCTCTATTACTCTACATACTGGTTCTGGAATTTATTCCTAAACTATTTGTTTCTGCAAATCAGATTTGGCATTAAGTGAACGAGGGAATTCCAGAAAAATGCCTTGTCAGCGATTGTATGCCCATTGCTGATCAATGACAAGGCTGTGGGCTGAATGCTTTCCTGTGCGTTGGCCTGGTTCCTCATTAGTCTCTTCTCCTCTGTGCTCTGGATATTGGCAGGCAATGACAAAGAGATTCTGAGCCCTTACTGGAGACAAATTCCAGAGCACTGCCTCGGGAAATGACCACCACACAGAAGAGTTCTCTTAAACACGTACGTGAAGTAAGCCAAACAGTGAGGTGAGGTAAACCAAACAGCTTGTGAGGTGAAGGGAGTACAGACATTTCTCAAGCCTCTTCCAGCTATGCTCATATGAAATCCCTGAGACAATTTCCACCAGCTTGGACAAGCGGATGACTGGGAGGCAGTTCCTGCACACCTCAGAAAGACATCTGGAGCTCAGGCATGCACGGAAGAGAGCAGATAAGAGTGTTTCAGCTGCTGGAAAGGCCTAATTGGAGTGTGTGCCTTAGACGCCACAGAGGCCAAGGCTTCATTAGGTGGGCTCAGGTGTCCCCTTCAGAGCTGCCACTGCCCTGTGTATCCTCGCCTTCCCTCAGCCTTGAGTCCCAGTGTTCCCATTACGGGCCGGAGCCCCGCTTTCCCACAGGGCCATGCTCTTGCGGTTTCCCCTCAGGCTTCGCCCTTCTCACCTACCGCTCCCTCAGGGCCCACCTCAGCACCCGCCAAGTGAGCTCCTGATACTAAGAAAAGTCCGAACAGAGCTGCCACTGCCCTGTGTATCCTCGCCTTCCCTCAGCCTTGAGTCCCAGTGTTCCCATTACGGGCCGGAGCCCCGCTTTCCCACAGGGCCATGCTCTTGCGGTTTCCCCTCAGGCTTCGCCCTTCTCACCTACCGCCCCCTCAGGGCCCACCTCAGCCCCCGCCAAGTGAGCTCCTGATACTAAGAAAAGTCCGAACGCGGCTGCCCGCCAGCCAAGAACACCTCACCCAGACTCTGCTCAGCCTCATGGACGTTTAAAAACCGGTCACCTTGCGGGAGAATCTGCCGCCATCCGCCCCCTGCCACCCATCTTCCCCCCAGTCCCTGCTCCCATCAGCCGGCGCGGCCCGGCAGGTGGCGCTGCCCACCCGTCCCTCGCTCCCCTCCCCCGCCCTCCCTTCCACCAAGGTGAGGCGTTAAAGGGCGGGGCCCCGCGGCCGCGC